TTTGCAGGGCTTCAGGGATGTGCCACATAGCAGTAGACCGACCATCTCATTTTCAAGAAAGGCTTTAAAGGTTATGAGAAATTGCCAAATCCACTACCCTAGTGTTGCCAAACCAGTTCAGCCGCAAGAATTATTAGCGCATAGAAATGTTTCATACCCCGTGAAGGGCCATAATCTTGCCCACAGTTTTTCTCCCAGATATTTGTGTTGAAATTTAGCTCCATCCATTTAGCTCTACTTCTTTATACACAATTCATTGAACTATCTAACTGCTTTCATACTAGAGAGCATTATTCTTTCTTTGTTCTCTATGGTTGTCTTGGAGGACTGTAACAGTGTAACTTTTCCAACGTATTATATACTTTTGGATCCTTTACAGCGGTGATGTATTCCTATAGCCTATGGGAGGGGGAGGGAGAGTAATACAAAAAAATGGAAATCTATGAGGTTTGTTTCATTTATTTCTATATATGCAGAAAATTATTTCATGTAAAGGCTAAATTTAAATATGCATCGAAAGTCACAAACTCTAATTTTAAAGACATCGAATCAAGCCGAATTTCAGATGTTGGTTTGCTGATGCATCGAAGAAAATTGGCGTTTCTTTTATTTTTATTTGTTTGCCTCTTCTTGTAAGATTGTTGACGTTCCCCCACCCCCTCCCTGCTCATGTCATGATTATATATCAAAGATAACATTAAATCCTAAAATTTGACATAGAGTGAATGGTATTGGATGTTCAAATCAAATTCATTACACGGACAGAAAACTTCATGATCATCTGTTCATCACAAAATGAAACAAGCGTTACCTATTGATATACATACATACAGATATATAATATATATATATAATCGGAGAATCGAGTGGATCACCTACATCAATATAAATTTTAAATTTGTATTATAGTATGCCATCTATTAGTATCAACCATACAACTCATTTTTTAAATTATATACAATACATTAAAAATTTTTACTTTATATTTTAGGAATAATGTAACTTTTAGTCTTAATTTTTTTTCAATTACTGATTTAGTTTTTTAAATTTTGACTCAATAAACTTATTCCTTGCAGTTTATAAGGGTTGAGTTTTAAAAATTGTAAAGACTAATTATTTGAAGTTAAAGTTGAAAAATTGAATCAATGATTGAGAACATTTTTAAAAATTATATTTTTCCTATATTTTATAATCAAATTACAAAAATATTCATACACCCACTTATCTTTCTTTTTGTTTTTGCTAAGTGGTTCTTGCAATAAAACTCTAGGTGGAGGGTCAACTGTAGGTGAAAGACATGATTGTCAACCCAGCAAGAGCCAACCGACCCATCCCTCCCTCAGATCCACCACCAGAAAGGAAAATCTATAGAAAATGAGAAGAAGAAAAATGACCCTCAAAAGAAAGCTGAAATAGAAATCCATTTCTGTCACGAACTACCACACACAAAGATTTAAATATATCAACATATCTACTGAAAGCTGGGGCAGAGAAGGAAAGGGAGTGAGATATGAACTAAAGATAAGCTGGCCCATCATGACTCTAGTGACAGCATATGATTGCCTCAGCAGCAATTTTAATCTTCTAGAAGCTTTTTTGCAACTAAAGAATTAGCAATGAACCTTTCTTTTCAGCTCCTACTACTCTGATTGCTCCCAGAGGATGTAGATTGAAAAGGATACTATCCTATTCTTATTTTTTATTTTTCAGATATTTTCTTTTCCTTTTCCCTATTACTGTTGAGATCTCCAATATCTTCCCATCTCAAACCCGTTCTTACAATATTGATAGTCCTCTATGGTTTTTTCAATCTCAGACTGCGTGTTCATCACAAAGGGTCCATACTGAACCACCGGTTCATTTAGTGGCTGGCCAGCAATCAACACAAACCTCAGAGGCTTTGAAGATCTGTTCCACACACTCAGACCATCTCCAAGGCTCAAGACCAGCACATAGTGAGCTGCCACTGGTGAAGAACTCACAGACCCAAAAACCCCTTCCCCTTCAATCACATAAACAAAGGCGTTCCATGATTCTGGAATGTTCTGATGCCGTTCAGCTCCTGGGCTGAGAGAGAAATCGAGGAACATGGTTGGGGTTCTGGTGTAAACAGGTGAATGAACTCCCATTGCTTCTCCTGCTATAACCCTCACTTCAACCCCATGTTGTCCTGCCTCTGGTATGTCCTCTTTTGGAAGTTCTTGATAATTTGGTTCAATCCTGAAATAAAAATTCCAATCCCACTATTATTCTTGTCACACAGCTTTGAGTTAAAACAAGACCCATATCAGTTCAGGTGTTCAAGTTTTGGTAATTTCGCAGTCAATGGATCAGAATCATTAATTACATCTTATCCTTGGAAGATAAATTGATCCATAGCTGCAATCCCTTGTGGGTTCCTTCTCCTCCGGGCATTTCAGAGTGAATTATTCCTCGGCCTGCGGTCATCCACTGCACATAAATTACAAAAGGAAATACGCAGTGAAGACAACCTGGCTCATCATTCTTGCTGATATATAAATTTTCCGGGGAAGGAAAAATGGAAAAGAAAGTATCATGCATAGACGTCCCTTACCTGAACATCACCGGTTCTAATTGTACCCTTGTGCCCAGCAAAATCTTGATGAGTTATGGCTCCCTGGAATCAGGAGGGGCAAAAGAATAGAGTCATGTAGCTGTAGTTTTCACTTCTCACCCATGCGGTTAAAAACATCAAACACGTCGTAGGAACATGTAACTAAATATACCTGCAGCATGTATGTGACAGTTTCAAAACCTGCAAGCGATGTGTGAATCAAACAAAATATTAGGAAACGTATTATATATAGGGATCTAGTAGCGGAAGAAATTGAAAACGGAGTAGAGAACAAATAGAAGGGAAATGGAATATAGTGGAAAACCTCTGTGTGGATGGTCGGGGAAGCCTCCCGGTGGAGACACTGCAAAACAAAGTCAAACAGGCCACACGGTTTTAAAATACTAATAATAATAATAATAATATCATGAACCGACAGCAACAGAACAAAATAAATAATGAAATGTGTGTCAGCCAAAGTGGGCTTGGAAGAGCCGAGTAAGGCCAGAAACGTACCAGAGAAGTGATCCATCATCAGAAAGGGATCCAAACTCTTCAACTCGCTCCTGATAACGAGATGAAATGAGAAAACTCAATCAATACCCATTTGAAGAAAAAGAGAGAAGAAGAAACCAATAAACACGGAATGCCCCCAGAAAAGGAAATCCAAGAAATGAGGTTTCAGACATAAGGAAGCTAGCGAGACACGAATACCTTCCGATGCCTCTTCTAACAACAGCACCGTCGCCTTCATGTTGAGATTTGGCCAGAACCTTCTTGAGAACCAGCCTGGGCGTTTCGAAAACGGAAGGTTGATCTGAGTGTGACATGAAGGCGGAGAGTTTGGATGAAAGTGCAGAGGCGGCACGGGACGAAAAAGAATGCGGCGGCCAATTGAACAGTGAAAAGCTGTGGCTGATGGTTCTCATAAACAGTATTTGTGGGGCGCGAGAGTAGATTGCAAGATGAGTGCTGGGCGCTGGCGAACGAAGATAGATACATGAAAAGCAATTGTAAGCATAAGGTGTTTATATATAGAGAGGGAAGGCGAGAATGTTGAGAGAGGGATGGGGGCGCAGGAAAGAGGCGTGTTAGTTGGGTCTGACATTTTGGAAGTTGGATGGATCGGAGGGGCGTGTGAGAAATTCATTTCCATGTGGGCTCCGCTTTCTATCCTTGGACCAATCATATTGATGATGTCAAGCTCCTGTCATCATGATGCTGGCGCTCCTTTCCACCCTTTTGAGAATCCGTATTTTCCACTTCTCCGTGTGTGCCACGCGTTCCAAGGACGCCTCAAGAATGACACAATTTGTTTCGTTCACATTTGGAACAGCAAACAAGGACTTCATAACATTTTGGGGGCAAAACCTCGTTAATAATTACCTCAGTGCGTATTGGTTAAAATTAAATTGATTTTATAAATAGACTCGGAAACAATAATAATTGCTACATGCTATCACGTTCATGTTCATGGGCTTTCTAATCACCTCAAAAGAATTAAAAAAATTAGCAAATTTAGCCAGTGATATCGAATTTGTCCATGATTTGTATGTTGTTTTTTTAGGATACAAGGGACTTCCCCTGATCAAAAGGCAGTAATTATCTTTCAGAATCAATTAATTATAATGAAGAAGGAAGGGATGAGTTTGGCAAATGGCAATGGCGTTGGATGTTTTACTTCACCTTTGATGACTGAAGGATTGGCATTAAAAAGAGGGTATGGAGTTGAGATCCAGATATGATGCAACTCTATAGCTGGCCGTGGATGGCAGAGTGGGGATTCTTTGCACAACATTTATTTTTCTGCGGAGGCAAGTCAGGGAAGTGAAGCTTTGTGATATTCCATCCTCTGTTGTTCCTGTGTTACGCACGGATGCTGATGCCAGTTTGTCTGCTGTCCGTAATTCACATGGATTCGTTTAGAAGGCCGTGGGCTCATGCTGCTGCATTTGTTTGCTTTTTTTTTTTTTTGCTTTTCTTTTCATTTTATTTTCTATACGCTGTATCTTTAGGGTGTTTTTTTTATTTTTTAAAATTCTTTCTCAATTATTCAGTGCAATATTTTGTTATAATAAAAAGGGCCGTTTTCGGCCGAAAACATATAGTGCTCTCTGGCCATGGCACTAAGGCCTACTTAAATTGGGCTTGTAAAAACTGGCCGGCCCAAGATGTTTTAGACTCCATTGGCCTGATTCCCCTCGTAAAGATTTTGTGTTTAGCCCTCTCGGATCAGGATCGATGGTATTTATTAATGTTAATTAATTATTACGAATCTTAGTTGCAGGAAAGCTGTCAAACAAGTCCTTTCATCTGGCGTCAGGTACATGGATTGGAATCTTAAACCGAACCTATTAGGAGGATTGATGTCCAAAAAAAAATTGAAGGACAGGTAAAATTCCACATGAATCAAACATAAATCAAATTTAAGAAACACAAAATCTTGGAATTTTTATGTAAATTAGCATTACTTACTAGTCAACATTAATTATCAAATTGCAACTATTAATATTGAGTAATTATGCTTAGCACTTCATCCTAATGATTGGGTCTCATTGAATAAAGCATAATAAGACATAAATTAATCACTTTATTCAAAGTATGATAAATGCATGAATAATACTCTTCTCATGATTCAGATTATTTCTCATACTCGCGTCCACGCATCACTGAGACCTCCAATGCTTGCCATTCTCAAACCATTCCTGCAATAATGGAAGTCCTCCATGGCCTTCTCAATCTCAGAATGAGTGTTCATCACAAAAGGGCCATGCTGAGCCACTGGCTCCTTTAGTGGTTCCCCAGCTATGAGCAGAAACCTCAGAGCCTCAGAAGACTTGTTCCACACACTCACACCATCTCCAGGCCCCAAGAACACCACATTGTGCTGACCAATCGGTGATGAGCTCGGAGATCCAAACACTCCTTCTCCGTCAAGCACGTACGCGAAGGAATTCCAAGACTCTGGAATGTTCTGGTGCACCTGGGCTTGAGGGCTGACCTTGAAATCAAGAAACATGGCTGGAGTTCTTGTGTGTACCGCTGATTGAACCCCTAGTGCTTCGCCTGCTATCACTTTTACTTCAAACCCATCTTTCTCTGCTTTTGGAATGTTCTCGCTTAGCAGATCTTGATACTTTGGTTCAATCCTGCAGTGCAATTTCAATCCCCATTTTTAGGTCCCACAAGTCTTTTCAGCTTAATTTACTCCTACGTCCTGCCTAGCAATAGCATGCATGGTCACTTCAAATAAAAGATCTTTGTTTGCATTTGTGTCGCATGTTGGACACTCATACTTGATATGACACATATATTTAAGGTTCAAGTTCAGACTTAGCTCAACTTGAAACTCTCGGAATTTTGATCCGGCCTTGTTTCTAACTTCAGAATCACAATCAATTTAGTTTGTGAAGTATGGGTTTAGACACTGCAGGCATCTCTTAAAACTGAACTCAATTTTTGCCTGAACCCAATCTTCAGACTTGAAGTCTTCAATATGAAACAAAGCCAGGTCTAGATAATTCAAGAGACTGGACTGTCATAGATGCTCAACAGTCATCAAAAGGTGATTGGAACTCAGAAGTGCTATCTTAATACATGAAAAAGCAACCGAGCAAAAGTGTTTTTACATTTTGTCCTTCTTGGGAAGATTGATCCATAGCTGCACTCCTGTATGAGTACCCACTCCTGCAGGCATCTCAGAGTGAATGATCCCTCTGCCTGCAGACATCCACTGCACCAAAAAAGGAGGGAAAAAAAAATTGAGTTGTTTTGATTCTGCTGAAACTGGATAAAAGACAAGGTATAAATGATCTGTTAATGCTACTCACTTGGACATCACCAGCTCTTATTGTTCCTTTATTTCCAGCGAAATCTTGATGAACTATCGCTCCCTAATATTCACCCACATCAACAAAGAATTAATGAATCTCAAACTGTCCACTTCTTTCTCCCTCACAAATAAACAATCAAACAGGCCATGAGCTTCAAAAATGTGTATACCTCTAGCATATAGGTGACTGTCTCAAACCCTGAAAATCATGAGCAGATCAAGATGTCAAGAAATAGACCCTACAACTACAAGGTATCCAAATCCAGCAGTGACCACTAAAAGGTGGTGCTCTATCTGCACAAGTCAGTACCTCTATGCGGATGATCAGTGAATCCTCCAGGGTGAGTCACTGCAAGTTCAAACCAGTCAAGGGCTTAAAATTCTGAGACTAGTAGCTAATTAGTGAACTAGTAAGATTGCGCGTCACAATCAGGAGTACCTGAAAAGTGATCCAGATTCAGAAAAGGATCCAAACCCTTGAACTCACTTCAGCACCCAAATGGAAATGACAGAAACCATGAGTCCCCACATGGAGAGAAAAACAAGGAAAAAGAATGAGCCAGAAGGAAAAATAACATAAAAAAAAAAAAATCAGATAGACATAACAGTCTAAAACTATACCTTGCAATATTCCTGTTAACCATTAGACGACTTCCTCCATTCACATTTCTGGCAAACACCACCTTGAGTACCGATCTGGGTTTGCTAAAAGCAGGCGATTCATCTGACCGAGACATGGTATTTCTAACAAAAGAGAGAGCTTCCCTGCTATTGATGTTTCTATGGGCAGAAGTAGAATAGATAGAATGACTCCAATTGAACCCCAAAAAGTTCCTTATGGCTCTCATAAGCTGAACTTAGGGGTACCTTTGATCCCTTAGCTTTGCAAATATATATATTTATATATCCTGGAGGGGGATGATTTTCAAAGTGTTATGACGCATTAAAGTTGAAAATCGAAGGCCCGCTTTGGACCAAGCACACGATAGATCGTTCTTGTATCATTAAAAATAATAATAAAACGATAATAGATCATCCCTGTCGTCACAGTGTGGGAGTTCTCTGTCACAAAGTCAAAAGTTGAATCCATAATCTTCTTATCCCAGCGAGAAATAATCAGGCAATGTGTGATCTATCCCCTAGTGTAAAGCATAAGTGACATGGAGTTCATGAATAATATAGCAAGTGGGATTGTTAACTTTATACCTCTCTCTCACACATATCGGTCCGTATATAGTGACCAAAAAGAAATGCAGAGTTGTTTGAGAAGGTTCTTCTTTGTAAAGCACGAATATACTGTACTAGGATATACAACTGTTTCTGAAGTTTCGATGATGAATTATGATTTAAATATTGTAAATTTACGGGAAGTTTTTTTAAAAAAAGAGTTTTTTTTATATTTTATAAAAAAAATAATAAAACGAGTGAAACTTTACATAAATTAATCAACGACCGATCTCAATTTCATCGCATTTAAGTCCCAGAAAGGTTGGATTCATTCAATGGACAATATTAATTATATAACATTAAACGTTTTTCTTATCTTAAAACCGAAGCAAATATTCCAATTTGAAAATTTTTCTCTGATAAAAAACAGACTTCCAATGGTTTTAATAAGTTTTATGCTTTCTTCAGAAGGAATATAATTCGCAAAAACAATTGATCTTGACGATAAACTTGTGAAAAAGATTGAGAGTCAATAGTCAAAGTAATACAACATACGATCCAATATTTTATTCAGCATTCTCCCCCCCCCCCCCATCAACCCCAACCCCAAATAATCAGGATTTACTTCGTGTTTGAATAATTATTTGATATCTGGAAACAGAATGAATAGAACACTCATGGGCACTTTTTTTGTTTTGTTTGGCTTTAATTAAAAATTGCTGATTCTAGATCCCCATGATCGCGGGGATGGATTGAAGTTTTATATAATTTGACTAACATTATTTTTTGGAATGGGTTTAAAAATAAAAAACATTTTTTAAGAGGGTGAATATTAAAAAATATAAGATATTTTTAATTTTTTAAAATATAATCATTGTCTTTTTTTAAACCTATCCCTCTTAAATAAGTTACTTTATATTTATTTTAAGATAAAATATCATATTAAATAAAAAATAAAATTAATTTAAAGATAAATAACTGTTTTATTAAAAAATAAGATTATATACTCCTCTTTTTTAAATAATTTGAAGATTATTATGTAATTTTGCATTTGGCCCCATCACCATTGTTTCTAGATCCGCCCCTGTTACGTTAGATGGATGTATTTATTTATTACCTACCTTAGCGGGAGCACGCAAAAGAAATGGTGTCCATACTTTGAGAACGGTGTTAATTACGGCTGTAAACAAAGAGCTTCTAGATACATTGCCTTTAACTGGTAAATAATAATAAAGAAGTTTGTAGATGCTTTTGACGGCAATTGAGTTTCATTTTTTAAATTATAAATGAACGTATAGATTACCATATTTAAACATTAATAAACAGACCCAAATCCTTTCTTCGTGTGAATTGATTATTCAGCTCGTACGTTTTGGTGAATTTTTGTTCCCTTACAAGAACTGTGACTTTTGGGGGCTTCTCCTTTTCTCTCCTAGGGTTTCCCCAAGTGTGAGTGGGTAGTCAATTCGGCCCCACAAAGGCAAGCTCTGTCGGGTTCTTCCCTTCCTTCATCATTGGAGGGTTTGCCGAGCAATTGCATTGTGATCGTAAGTCCTATTTTTTTCTAAGTCACACTAGCAATGAGTGGGGGTTCGTGGTGGTTGAGTGAGTTGTGTATACGTGGTTTTGATGGTGCGTTTTCTTTGATGCAAATCATGGGTGGAGCAGATTGTTTATTACGATAGACGATCTAAGGATGCGAGCATGGCAAGATTTCACATCGATTGTTAGAGCTATTGATCTAAAGTGGGTTCCTCCAAGATTGGGGTTGCCATTGCTATTTTGAATGTCTAAGAGTACCAAATTAATGGCAGGCTTGGGATTACAAATAGTGGAGTTGCAAGATTTGAAGACCCCACTTTACGTGATGAAATCAAGGAAAAGGGTGAAATGGATGATGAATTTGGTTGCTGGATCGGTGATGGCTCTTCAACGAAGAATTGAAGGCCTGTTGATTGAGACACTAGCGTTTGAAGCATTGCTGATCGATCATCCTTAGAGGCTGAGAGCAGGGTTTCTGACTATGGTAAATCTTTTTTGGGTTTCATCTCTCATTTCTGCGTTGGTGGTGTGGGTGATTTGCCATGGGTACCTCTTGGCTTAGTGACATTGAAGAAAATATTGTGTTGATGATGCTTAGGTCCAACTCTGATGTAAATATTTTCCTTGCCTTCATTTTTTTTGAAACTTTTGCGCGTCTATTCTAGGAAAGTATTATTAATTTAGATGAAAATTTTGATTCATTCTATGATGTGAGTTTTAATTTGGTTTTCTGGAGGAGGGAATTTACTTGCTTGGTGTGGTTATTGAATTTGATTTGGTATCTTTAACTGTTCTCTTAAATGGGGGCATTGCTGATAATCTAGTTTAAAGACATCTGACTAGTATTTGTGTTAGTCCTCTCAGTATTCTTCGTGGCAAAATTAAGGACAATATGAGGTGGGTTCCCCTTGAAAATAAGTGGTTTCAATTTTGACCCTATCGAAAGTTTTTTGAGGGCTATGGAGGAATGTGTTTCTTTTCTACTAGGGCAAGATGTGTTCCATGCTATATTTTGTTCAGAAGGGATTTGCTTTGCTTCGGTGGATTCTTCTAATTTTGGCGAAGCTCTTGGTTCTAATTGTTATGGGTGGATTTCGAGACTTCAAATTATAACTGTCTTTTTGGTATGCTCAGGCTGTTTTAGGGAACTCAAAAGAGTGGGGGTTGCAACTCTTTCTTCCTTGGCAAATATCCTAGTTGATTTCATGTTTAACCCTGGGAAATCTATTTGTTTTTATTCCTTTGGACCTTTGTTTTTGCTTTGGTTATTTTGTTTGTTCTTTTCTTGCTTTGTGCTGTGTGTTTTGCGAATGATGGTGGTTCGCTGTTTTTTGACTCGGTTTCCTGATATGTTATAGTTTTTCCCTTTTGGCCGAAAAAGAACTGTTGCTATTGAAGTGTAAAGAGAGATTGGAATCAGATAAAACTTTATCCAAAAATAATCAGATAATGTTGATGTCATGATCGAGAATTAGCGCATAGCCTAGACGATACTAGCAGCAGAAACGAAGTTGATGGGAAGAAGAGGCGATTGCAGAAGTCAAGGATGAGATTTCCATGATTTAGCCTTCTCAAACCCATTCTTACGCTCACGATAATCCTCCACCGCCTCCTCTATCTCCCTTTCCCTGTTCATCACAAACGGTCCCCTCTGCACCACTTCTTCCTTCACCGGCTCTCCGCCTACCACCACCACCCTCAGCCCCTTCTCCCCCGACTTGTTCCACACACTCACCCCGTCCCCTCCTCCTAGCACCGCCACCTGTTCCCCTGTGATTTTCGGCGATGACTCATCTCCCACCACGCCTTCTCCTTCGATCACGTACACCAAGTAGTTCCACCATGATTCCGGAGTTTTCATATGCACCTCTGCACCGGCCTTCACTATGATGTCGAGCAACATGATCGGAGTCTTGCTGTACACTGGTGCTTTAACCCCAAATGCTTCTCCTGCCAAAACCCTAATTTCTGATCCGTCTCTCTCCACCGTGGTATCTCCTCACTCCCGACCTCTCGGGACCAGGGTTCGCTCCTGAGATTTAAAGAATTAGCATGATTGATGATGACTGATGAGCGTACAATTGATGCAGAGTTCAAGAGGAACATACATTTTATGTTTGGAAGATAAATTGATCCAGAGTTGAAGTCCTGTGTGGGTTCCTTCATCTGCTGGCATTTCCGAGTGAACTATTCCTCTTCCTGCCCTCACCCACTGCATCCACGTTTTCGTAACTCATTTCATTCTTTCATGCAAATTTCACTCATTTAATTTTGACTCAATTAATTTATTTATTGACTAAATGACAAAAGTGCGATTCATGATTAATTATTTATAAGCACGTACCTGAACGTCACCGGTTTTTAAGGTGCCCTCGTGGCCTCCAAAATCTTGATAGCTTATGCCTCCCTATTAATTAGCCCCCACATGATGGTTTCAGTTAATCATGCTCTCAATAAAATTCCCTCCCTTACCAAAAGAGGAAAAAAAAAAAAAGTAGATATACCTGCAGCATGTAGGTGATAGTTTCAAAACCTGAAATCAAATTATGAACAAAATTTAATTAATTACCACCTGTGTGTGTAATAGAGATGGTCAATCTAATGAATAATTGTGAAAGAGGCATTCTTATATAATTTGTAGGGTGTTAATTAATTAGATTACCTCTGTGGGGGTGATCAGGAAATCCCCCAGGTGGAGTCACTGCTCGAAACAATCATCAACACACATACATAAACCCAATAAAAATGAAATGATGAGATATGTCATAACCAAATTGGCATTACGTATATACCTAAGAAGTGAATCAGCATAATAAATGGGTCCACACAGTCCAACTCTCTTTTGAGGATCCAAAGTGAACCAAAAAAGAAAAGAAATCGATCAAAATAGAAGGAGAAGGTGATCAAGGTTGAAGAAGCTAGGGAGAAAGAAAGTTGTGTTGCACCTTCCAAAGCCTCTGAGGAAAGCTCCATTGGAGTGCTGGAGAGGTTCGGCTAAAACCTTCTTCACAACCAATCTGGGTGATCCTAACATTGTGCTTCTCAATCGAGATCTTGATATGTGAACGCCACTCAGATTGCAACTATATATACAGTGGCCAATGATAACGGTGTGAAAGGGGGAACATCAGAACATGGATATAGTTTTATGGGAAGGATAAAATTAGAGTCCGAAATGGGATGCAGTAATATTCATTTCCTAGACATGGACAAAAACAAATCATATCAATTGAATAATGTCAGGCCACTGAACCGTCCTTCTTGAATATAATCTTCAATGCACACCCAAATTGATTCCCTTTGACCAATTTTGCAGGCCTCTTCATTATTATTTTTTGGATTCTCACCTCCCATACTTCTATCCCTATTTCCATCATCTCACTCACAAAAGCACGAGAGAAACATTACTAATAAATACTATTTTCTTCCTTGAAAATTAATAAGCTGCTGTCGTGGGTGATTCCATTTAATGTCAAAAGAACTGAATAGCTTTGAAGAAAATGGAAGATGTTCAATGTCTTTTATACTTTCCCCCGTAACAACAACAATAATGAATAATAATGCATGTATAGAAATAGGGTGTGGAATTGTTTAATGGAGAGAGAGAATGTACATGTATTTAAATTGTTTTTTTTTTTTTTGGCCCGTGTACATGTACTTAAGCATAAACTAATTATTTATTAATTTGACTTGATTTTTTCGTTTGAACATAATATAAATGACACCGCACTCCTAACATATGTAATATCAATTGGAAGGAGATTAATTCTATCCAAAAAATGTTAGGATAAGGTTGAAAATAACGAGACATATGGATGGATTTATTGGATAGATGGCGCTATATGTATGGATACCTGGAATATGGTAACTGTGCCACGCCGTTAACAGCTTACAAATATCGATCTAGACTACGATGATTGATTTTTGAAGATTAACTCGATAAGGAACTAGAGCACAGAACAAAGATGTGCATGCCGACAAGGCTGAGTTAGAAACATTAATTCGGTTCATTGTTTAAAAAAAAAAACTTGCATATTTAACTTTATAAATTTAAATTTCTGTTAAATTTTTTATATCATTTATTCTGTAATAAATTTTTTTATTAATATTAATAATAATTTAAATTCTAATATTTCTAATTTGATTGAATAAAAGTAAATTAAATAGATAATATTGAAAGTAAGTTAAATATCAATAAGTTTGTAAATCAACCGGCAAAGGGATTATGGCAACTTAACTAATAGTCTCAACTCAACTCTCTAAGTTCAAACCTATCAAGTATGGTAGCTTGACGAATTTGTCCTAATCTGATCTCCAATGTGGCTACCGCTTGCCTCTTATGGCTCTATTGTTTGCTTCTTGTTTAGCCCTATTAAGTATTAATTAGTTGATCAACAAACTTAAAACTTTTTTTACCTTCAATCAATAAACGTAAACTGCACAATGAAAATAAAGAGACGGATAGACTTGTTAGTTGTTCTCTGCTCAAGTAGGCCTCATGCCATCGATGGCTGTGTAAATGTTGGCGACGATAATTGAACCCCAAGAAGGTAGAAGTAGTTACAAGTGAAAGTGAGAAAGAATGATAATTCAAAGTCAAATTGCGGTGTGAACGGTCACCCTGCGTTTCGAGTTTTGTGTTGTATATGTAAGTCAATGATTTTGGTTGTCCGTGAAAGGCTAGCCACTGACATTTTCTTCTACATTCATAGCTATGTCGGTAATTAAGAATATTCAAATGAGGATATTTCCCGAGTTTCTAAACTGTGTGGGTATCATCTAAATAAAGTTCAACAACCTAACTTCATCAATAATTTAATTACTAGGATTACTATGAATGTTTCACTATCACAATCACTAATTTTCTGGGGATAAGGACATATAAAAATAGGGGAAAAACCCAGTAATCGGGAGCTCCATATAAATTGGATGAGATGGTGATTGCTAAATCACTATTCACATATGAGCTCTCTGCCTCATCCACTTGGTGGCCGACCACTTCTCACCAGAGAGCACTTCACACCCTCCATGCACACTACTTGGACTTGACTGTCCATCCAATCCCTGAACATGCCAGGCAAAACATTCAACTTGGTTGTTTGGGAAGACAAACATGCGTTTCTTTTAAGACACGAGCAGTATTACCTGAGTCTGTTTTTTAGAAACTAGATTTAGTAAATATGGCCACACAATTATGCCGTCTGACTTGAAATGAATTTCAACTAGGAAAACAACAGATGGAAGCAGAAGAAAGTAATGGAATTGCTCATGATAATCCCATTTAATAAGCAATTAAAGAATACTAACCATGCTCCAGAACAGCACTGCGTTTCCTTTAATTGGTTTAACGGAAATTCCCTGGACAATCTTCCCCCCACAGCTACACTGACCTGAACCAGCCTGCAATTATTGCATATTAATTCAAGTAAGTGAAAACGTTCAACCGTGTGCCGAGTATCCTCAAGATCTTAGATTTAAAGATCCTCATCATTGAAGAGCTATCCCGTATTACCCAGCAAACAGTGGATAGGTGATGTTAACATCATCACCCAGCACTGCTTACCTATAGAACCAGACCCTGGTCTAACCTGCTCCTTTCAAACTTTGTTGCAACATAGTTGAGAATTTTCCAAATGCTCATGTCATCATTGTTATTATAACATTCTGCAGGGCATTGAGCCTATTTCCCACTTCAGGATGGTCAATTTCTAGTTGTCCAAATTGTTAGAGGGGAATGAATTACCACTTTTGCTTGATATTTTTCATCAACCAAAGGAGACCAACATACAAGGGGATGCCTC